CGTCTTGCTCGTTCTGTGCCATGTCTGTTTGGATTTCTGATGCAGATGACTCTGGAGCAAGACTAGCTAACAAGTCTCGTAGGTCCTGCTGGATAGATTCGTCGTTTGGGATGATTATGCGACCACTCCTGGTACTCATAAACACAAACAACAAAACGTCACGGGCACCAGATAGACAAGAGAAAGAACAAGGAAAACGAATTAAAGAAAATCACTACAACTAAACAAAGAAATAAATAAAAGAAACACAAAAATCAAGAATTCACGAAAACAAGAGAAACACTGAAAACAAAATGAATAGACGCACAAATAAGTCCTAAACCTTCCCCGGCAACGGCGCCAATTAGTTGTAAGTATTTTTACCGGAGTTAAATCAAAGGATTCAAACACCGGGTCGTCTCTCAAGGAAGGTTGGCCGGATTATTTGTATGAATATTCGATTACAAGAAAAGAGAAAAGAAATTCCTAAACATTCTAATTCAATTGTTTGGGTTTCAATTATCAACTATGAATTCTAAAGCAATGCAATACGAAAATTCAAAAGCAAACGAGTTAACTTGATTATAAATGAGTTAGGAAATCGCGGACAATTGTTTTCGGTTATTGACTCAATTACCGGGCAATCAAATTGCTCGGCTAAAGGGTTTGAATTGTTTACTCGAATGGAGGTTCACCGTCAATAACTCTTCGTAACAAGAAGGTGAACATAAACGAGCAACTCATCAAACCCGACAACACATAGACAATACAATGACGAACAAGAATATTCCAAACGAGCCTAGTTCGACCGACGTCTCCCCTTTCGGTTCTAAACGTCGATTGATTAGGTTAGATTGGTGATCAATCAACTAACCCTAGAATTCAAGCAACTCACAAGGATTGAACAATTATCAAGCACGTAATCGAAAACGAACCGCAACAACCGTCCCCTATCCCTAACTTATGGAATTAGCCACTCATCACAATCTCAACACAAACATTCACAATAAAAGAAGCCATCACATGCATTTTCAAAATAAAAGGAGTGCTTACGATTGTTACCAAATCCAATGTCGAGAAAAACAACGAGCAATCTAAATCCGAAGGTAGAAAAAGAAGTTTTTATGCTCCAAAATCCAATCCAAGATGAAAGCCAAGAGAAATTATGTTTGTGCTATGAAAAACTAAAAAAAAAAACGAAGTCTGGGAATCCTTTTCAAAATCCCTAAACTCGACCTAAATCAAACCCCATTCGAAATCACGAAAATCCGCAGTTGTTATAAAATAGGGCATAGAGGCGCTATGGGGTTAGCACCGCTATGGTCGAAAATCGTCGAGTTGCTACCCCCCGCTTCGCTATGTAGCGGCGCTTCATTCACAGGCCATAGCGGCGCTATGGCCATAGCGTCGCTATGCCAAAAGTCCGAAAACCTACTGCCCATCGTTAAGATGCTTAGCGCCGCTAGCTGGTTTGGCCATAGCGGCGCTATGTCCTGGGCAGCTTCCAAAAAATGATCGTCTCGGGCTCGCGTGTCCTCGGCTAGCGTCCCTCGGGCTTTCCCCGAGCTATAAACTCACTCCTCGCATGTTCTAGTCGCATGAACCAATGCATAACTCCTGAGAGCCGGAACCGCATACCACTATCAACATCTGACCATGAAACCACCAGAACCGGAAGAACATGAAAAACGAGGAAAATAGAAGGGAAGACAAAGAAAATACTAAACACACAAAAATAAAGATAAAAACGCAAGAAACGACAAAAGGGGCCGGAAATGCCTAAGAAAAGACCTAAATCGGGGGAAACGACACACAAAATAAGCACGAAAAAGACCACAAAAATTGAACAAACAGTACGAAGAGTCGACCTCGAGTATGAACAAGTCGACCCAGGATCTTCTGGTTATTCGGAGGCCACGCTCTTGTTAGTCTTCTAAAATAGATGTCGACTATCTGAGAGTTGACTGCATAAAGTCGACTTCTAGGAGTTGACTTGTATGGGATCTGTCATTTCTCGCCATCCACTCTTAGGAATAGTCGACTCTGAGGAAGTCGACTTGGGCATGTCAACAAGCGTATGTCGACATGTGGGCAATTTTAGCCACTTTCCGGTCGAGTAGAGAGCTTTTGGACAGATATATCTTTATATGACTATATCAGTGGTATTAACAGAACAACTGCATTTTGGTCGGCATTTCTCTTATTCTCATCCGAACCCACAACCCTTGTTCCCTCAGCAGGATTCAGGCTCACCGCGTTTGTGTTCGTCGCTGATTTTGAAGGACCGCCACTGACCTATTGACTGTCATATGTAACTTCATCTTTATCAGGCAAGAGAGTTATCACCCTCATGTTGGCCAGAATCTCGAGCCGGTCAGACTTGATGTCTCTGATGCCCTTTAGATCTTATAGGGAACGGGTACCACTTTCCAAATTGTTGATGACCCATTTGAGAGGGAGGACCACATTAAAATCGAGGTCGTGAGAATACTCCGCAGACTTCTTGTAGTCTTCGAGTCTGCTCTCGGCCCCTTTTTGAAGTCATTGTCGAACGAACCTTTGGATGGTGTTGGAGAGCCTGGCCTCACGCTTTACCCTTTCATCAATGGTGGCATCTCACCTCTGTTCGACCTTAGTCGACTTATGTACGGCCACAGACAACTTCCGTTCAGCTGCATCTAACCTCTTGGTGGCATCCTCAATCTGGGCCATCAGTTTGACTTCTTCATGCTTAGTCAACTTACTCTCGCCTTCAAGGTCGGCGATTCGGTACTTCAACTAATCGGCCCTCTTAACCTCAGTCTTAAAGGAGTAGATTCGGTCTTGGCAGCTAGTGTGTTCAGTCTTCTGCTGGGCCAGTTCACTAGCCATCTTACGAACTTCGGTCATAGAGGCCGCATGATTGCAAAAGTCACGGCTCAGACTACCCGTCGTGTGCTCCCATTTTTGGATCATGGTGAGACCCTGCGCTACCTACGCTTGTAAACAAATCAAATTTTTTGATTCAATTCGATATTCGTGATTCAAATTCGAAATATTCGAATACGAATTCGAATACGAATAATGTTTTATATTCAAATGTTAAACGAATCTGAATTCGAATTTGTAGATATTCGATTCGAAATTTGAATATTCGATTCGTTAACAATAATTATATAAATTTTATAAATTATATATAGTATATATTTTGTTTATAA